AATTTGTTCATTTCATAATGATATCTTTAATTTTCTAATTTTGGTGAATATTTTTGTCATTTTTGGTAAAAAGTGATATTTTCAACTTCTTGTTAGTAAACCGCAAGTCCAATTGCTTTGATATTACATATATAGGTACTACATGTGGACCACTCTCAAATTTGTTCATTTCATAATGATATCTTTAATTTTCTAATTTTGGTGAATATTTTTGTCATTTTTGGTAAAAAGTGATATTTTCGACTTCTTGTTAAAAACGACAAGTCCAATTGCTTTGATATTACATATATAAGTACTACATGTGGACCTCTCTCAGATTTGTTCATTTTGTGATGATATCTTTAATTCTCTTATTTTGGTGAATATTTTTGTCATTTTTGGTAAAAAGTGATATTTTCTTCTTGTTAAAAACCACAATCATTTATGGTCAAAAATGATATTTTTGAATTCTTGTTGAAAACAGCAAGTCCCATTGCATTGATACTATGCATATTGTTCATTTTCTAATGATATCTTCTGTTCTTTAATCGAAATGTGCATTGCTAACAGCGGAGCTATCTCAGCCGAGAGGCTGCTTGTTTTATATATACTGTCAAATACTTTAGTTTAATTTTTGCTGAAATGACATTTTGGATGGTTTGTATAGAATTTATTTTCACTAATTTTTGATGAGTTGAATATATTTTCACTGAATCATTCCTTCAGCGAAAATAGTGAAAATTAGTTCCAAGCGAAAATAAAGTATTTTACAGTAGGCAGTTTGTATTGCTACTTAAAACCCCACCAAAACAAATAGCGTTGTGCTTACATGCACTTATGTGGTACATACATAAGAGTTTGCATTCAATGAAATATTTTGTTTTTATTTCAGTACGGTTAGTATCGCAGAGACTAGAACTACTACCACAATTTAATATGAAACCAAGAAGAGTTTTGAAAGGTCACCAAGGCAAAGTACTGGCTATGGATTGGTCACAGGATAAAAGACATGTTGTCAGCTCATCACAAGATGGAAAAATGATTGTATGGGATGCATTCACTACAAATAAGGTTAGTATCGCAAGCTTTGGTATAATACTGTAATTTTTGAATAATATTGCCTGCCTGTAAAAAGTAAAGGTGCAAAGCTGTGAATTAAGATCAAAATAACTACCCAATTATTACTATACTGTTCAAAAATTAATAAATTTATACATCTCTTACAATCTCAGAATTTGTTAATCTTGCAAAATTTAATAAAGTATACTGTCTTTGCCATGAATGCACAAAAACTATTGATAATTTCCAGAATTTATTAATTTTTGAGATATTTTGCAGCATTCCCTGATGTTATTTATTTACTTTTCTTTTTATATACATGTGAAATGACCCACTTATACTGAATATAAACATTATTATTGTAATGTCTATATTCAGTTCACCGGAATTGTCCCAACTCACAAATCATCTTCTCAATCTTGGTAAAATTATAAATGCAAACTGCAACTAATCATTCAAATTTTAATATTTACATAACCATGGTCAAAGGTATTAAAGAGATTGAAGAATATATTACAACTGAGAATACTTAACAAAAAGTGGTAAAATCATACAGGAAATACTCAGACTTAGTAGTCTTCGTTCGAGCGAAGTCCGAAAACAGGGACTCGTAATTCAGTCTTCGTCTGTCTGTGCGTGCGTCCATCCGGAGTCATATTTCAGAATTCTTTGGACCAATTGTATTCATTCTTTGCATGTGCCTAGTACTTTATGTGGGACATATGCACATGCAGTGGTTTAGCGATTTGATTCAAAATGGCCGACTGGCAGCCATCTTGTTTTTTTGAAAATATTTCGGACATGCTTTGTCAGTTTTCATTCAAATTTGGTACATAGATTATACATGTCAGGATACATGTCCTCCAACCGTCCGTCCATCCGTTCGTTAGTCCGTGTGTCCGTCTGTGCGTCCGTCGGTTTGGAGTCATATTTCAGATTCCTTTGGGCCATTCCGTTCATTCTTTGCATGTGCCTAGTACTTTATGTGGGACATATGCACATGCAGTGGTTTAGCGATTCAATTCAAAATGGCCAACTGTCATTTGAAAATGTTGTTTTTTGGACATGCTTTGTCAGTTTTCATTCAAACTTGGTACATAGATTCTACATGTTAGAATACAAGTCCATGACAATTTCTTTCGCAATTGGATCAAAGATGGCCGACTGGCAGGCATCTTGTTTTTTTAAATGTGGTATCTTGGACATGCTTTGTAAGTTTTCATTCAATTTTGGCACGTTCTTTATACATGTTTATATATGTCCAAGGCAATTTGTTTAAAAATCGGATCCAGGATGGTCGATTGACAGCCATCTGACTTTTTGGCCTTACTACCATATTTCCAAGATTTATGTACCATTTTCATTTGTATTTAGCACATACATCATACATGTCAGTTTGTTTCATAATCAGATCAAAGATGGCTGAATAACGGTTGTTTTTATTTTTGGCCATATTACTATATCTCTGTCACCCATGTATTAATTTCATCTATATTTAGCATGTCATAAATGGATACATGTACATGTCAATTCAATTTGCAATTTGATCAAATATGGCTGACTGGCAGCCATCTTGTTTGCTTAAAATGTGATAACTTGGACATGCTTTCACTTGTGATCTACTTTTTTCTTTGCTATGTCTTAAACCGAAAGGGTCATCACACAACACATGTTCACATTTGATATAAATAAACAATCTGTTGTATATGCCACTTGGGACTCCATTTTAATGTGACGAGCACAAAGAGAACTTTCAAAAATTTAACAGGGACTGTGTCATTTTCAATGACTTGTTAAATTAAAATTAAAATAGTCAATATTTATTGATGTATTTGTTTATTTAGCTGGATCTTGCTACACCCAGTTTCTTTTGAAATCATATCTTGAGATTAAGCCTTTTGTAATGTAATGTATATAATTTGTTTGTCCGTGTCTGTGTTATATATAAAAATAAATAAATATAAAAAAAACATTATATCATTGTTATTATTGTAATTGGGAAATGACTTTAGTAAAATTTGTATTATTGATTGTATCTAGCATCATATTCAAATAATAAATGCTTTTATCTACTTCACTGTAACTATTCTCACCTGCTCTCTGTCAAGTTTGATTAGCATACACATTACTTTTGGTTATAAATTCAATCAGAGCTTCAACATCATCATTGCTTTCTCTTGGGAGGGTATTTTGTCTGATATTATGGATAGTAATTATACGGTCTGTCAGGATTTAGATCTGTGAAACCTATGTTACTGACTTCATAATTGTATGGTCTGTCAGGATTTAGATCTGTGAAACCTATGTTACTGACTTCATAATTGTATGGTCTGTCAGGATTTAGATCTGTGAAACCTATGTTACTGACTTCATAATTGTACGGTCTGTCAGGATTTAGATCTGTGAAACCTATGTTACTGACTTCATAATTGTACGGTCTGTCAGGATTTAGATCTGTGAAACCTATGTTACTGACTTCATAATTATACGGTCTGTCAGGATTTAGATCTGTGAAACCTATGTTACTGACTTCATAATTATACGGTCTGTCAGGATTTAGATCTGTGAAACCTATGTTACTGACTTCATAATTGTACGGTCTGTCAGGATTTAGATCTGTGAAACCTATGTTACTGACTTCATAATTATACGGTCTGTCAGGATTTAGATCTGTGAAACCTATGTTACTGACTTCATAATTATACGGTCTGTCAGGATTTAGATCTGTGAAACCTATGTTACTGACTTCATAATTGTACGGTCTGTCAGGATTTAGATCTGTGAAACCTATGTTACTGACTTCATAATTATACGGTCTGTCAGATTTAGATCTGTGAAACCTATGTTACTGACTTCATAATTGTACGGTCTGTCAGGATTTAGATCTGTGAAACCTATGTTACTGACTTCATAATTGATTCTGAGAACAGGTTTAATTGATTTATGGAAGTAGGTATGAAACCATTTGAACTCAGCCTTTAAACAATATTTATTCCATAATAAAAAACACATGTGCATGAATCACTAAAGTAAACAAGGCCTGGCAACTGTTGTATATTCTTGATTTGACATCTAGAAAATGCATACAGTTGACATCTGGAAGCTTTTGCTTTTTTTTTTTTTGTACCGTATTTTCCCTCTCAGTAGCGTATTCACTAAGATAGGGTATTTCTCTGGTCAAAACAAATTATTAGTCCCCGTTCGGACACAGTCCGAAAAAGGGGACTTATGTTTTGACTTGCGTGCGTGTGTGCGTGCCTGTCCGTGTGTTGGTGCGTGTCTGTGTGTGTGCAACCGTGCATGCGTCCGAACCTGTATCTTAGAAATGCCTGGACCAATCACAATCAAACTTCACACATACATCATACATGATATTATACATATGCACGTCAATTTGTTTCACGATCTGATTCAAAATGGCTGAATGGCGGCCATTTTTTTGCTAAAAATCATCAAAATCAAGTATTTCTCAGCTGTTTACAGATGGATTTTGTTCAAACTTGGTATATACATTAGACATTATTTTGTTGAAAGTACTTTTTAATTAATTATATGTGTTTTAAAAGAAACTTTACAAAATGGTATCCATAGTCAGTTTCACTGAAATTTGATATTAGCATGATTTACAATGACTAGTTACTTTAATTAAATGCTACAAACACTAGTGTAGATTCTGTAAACTGTACATTTTATGGTTTATGGATATGTACCAAATTTCAAGAAACGACCACAGTAAATTGTTCACTGCTACAAAATGTTATGACTTTCATGAATGTTTGATTCTTGTAAGTACTAAAAGTAGTTTTACAATAATTACTGTAAAGTAATTTATTTTCATTATTTTTGCTGAAGGAATGATCAATGAAAATTAAATCCAGAGAAAGTATTTTTTTCTTCTTCTATGTTTTACATTCAACTCATAGAAATTCAGTTAAAATAAATGTCATACAAAACACCCAAAATGTCTTTTCCGTGAAAATTAATTTCAGCTAAAATAAGGTATTTTACAGTAGTATGTTTTATTAGAAAACTAATTTGATATTTGTTTGATTGGAACTGATTTCTTGAAGCACTGCAAGCACTGTTTATTAATATACATCTGCCACCATATCTTCATATAATAATACACAGGGCATCTGTATCCTACCTTATATGAAAATGCAAATTCCATATATGGAAATATATGTGGTATTTTCAAGATGTTGGACATGTTTAAAAGGAAGTTAATGATAATGAGAAACTTTGAATAACTTTCACCATCATTTTTCAATTACATGCTTCATACTGCAAGTGATAGCTCAATAATGATTTATAAAGGTTATTAATAGGATACTGCTAAGTATGTACTCAGACAGTTCACATTTGCATTGACCTTCCCTAATAGCTGAATTGTCATCATGCTTCCTCATGCTTCCTCATAATATCTGTATATTATTGCTTGTCTGAATATAAAGTATGCTAATGTTTTTAGCATTGCTACATGTATGAAAGACTTGGTTGACATCACAAGTTTTTACAGACATAGTTAACGTGTCAAGACTGGCAGGCATTATACTATAATGTATTAATCTTATCTCATTTTTGATAATAGGAGCATGCTGTTACTATGCCAACAACGTGGGTGATGGCTTGTTCATATGCACCTTCAGGAACTATGGTAGCTTGTGGGTGAGTGTACATCTAATCTTAAGTTATCAGCATTTTATCATTACTCTTTTTTATGTGCGTTATGCGAAATTATCCAAAATGTCATGTGTTGTTATATTTGCCAAAAGAAATTTTTGCAATTTGTGGTAATTTGACAGCATTCAGGAGAATGACATTCTTTAAAAGTGGCTTAAGTATCCCAATGAAATGTTCACTACTAAAATATTTTCTGATTGCCAGATTTGCTCCAGTATAAATGCATATGTATAAAAATTCACATTCGCAAACTAAAACATTAAAATATTACTCATTTTAGCCATGGAAATACTTAATATGTAATTTATGCATTAAAGTACATGTGCTACTGATAGATCAAATAAGGTACTGTGGAATACTTCATTTTCGCTGGAATTAATTTTCGCTGAAAAGGCTTTTTGGGCGTTTTGTATGGAATTTATTTTCACTGATTTTTGATGACTTTAATGTGAAATATAGGAAAAAAAGTATATTCGCTGGATTTTATTTTCACGGAAACATCCCTTCAGCGAAAATAGCGAAAATAAATTCCAAGCGAAAATAAAGTATTCTACAGTATTCTTTATCTTTTGAGTGGTTTATTGTATTTCCTGTGTTCAACAGTATATCCTATCCTTGGGGGCGTACATCTGGGCATTTTCACTGCTTGGCAACCATCGTGGTGAAACGAAAGCCTGAAAACTCTCAGAAAACTGTGCTTTGGGATAGTTGTTTAGACTTTCCTGAACAGTATAACAGCATAATCCATACATGTGCAACATATATAAATTTGGTTGTTTAGATTTGTCTCTCAGTTGATTTTATGCTGTTATCTTGACTTCTGCTGTTTTCACCGGTGTTCCACAGCAGCTCACGCAAAGCCCATAAAAATTCATGCTACAGTGGTGTGCAATATGGAACATTCTGTGATGTAGCTATAAATAAAGTCTTTTTATCTCATTGCAGGGGACTGGACAATAAATGTTCTATTTATCAATTGAGTCTAGATGAAGATGTTGCCAGTAAGAAACGCACAGTAGCCATGCATACAAGCTATATGTCATGTTGTTCATTTACAAATTCAGATCAACAGGTTTGTAACCACTACATCCCCAAAATGAATGCATTCTCATTTCTAACATGCATGTAATGTTAATGAATGTCAGTATTTTCATCATTTTCACCGTCTCCATCAACTATTTCTTGTATACTTTCTTTTAGATACTAACAGGAAGTGGTGACAGTACATGTGCATTGTGGGATGTAGAAAGTGGTCAGTTATTACAAAGTTTCCATGGGCACAATGCAGATGTCATGAGTCTTGACCTTTCACCTTCAGAATCAGGAAATACATTTGTATCAGGGGTAGGTTATGTCCTTTACTTACCTTTACTGATGGTAATCATCTTTCTATCAAATATTTCCTTCACTTACCATTATTTGCGATAATCATATATGTATCAGCTAAAATACATGTAATTCAGTCACACCTCTAATAATGACACATATTTGTTCTACTTCCATAGGGATGTGATAAGCAAGCATTAGTATGGGATATGAGAACAGGGCAGTGTGTACAGTCATTTGATGGACATGAGTCTGATATCAATGCAGTCAGGTTTTTTCCAAGTGGTGATGCCTTCGCCACTGCTTCTGATGATGCAACAGTAAGTCCGACTTAGCATTCAGTCTAATTAGCTCACAAATTCATGTTTCTAGGGGGTGGGCGCTTAGTCTACTTTGATAAAATTAAAATTGCAAAATGAGTTGCATTGTCATTGATTTCCACGACACATTCACAATAACAAAACAGAAATGATTAAAAAACAATAATACACACATTTTTACCTTGCCTGTATAATCAAAGGTAGAATGGAAAGATATATTAAGGGGAAAATTTCAATAACTTTACTAACTCTATCCCTAACTTTATCAAACTTGGTCACCTTATTCATCAGTATAAAGTCTTCTTTTAGTATGAATGACAGATGTCCTGTATGAAAATATGCAAAAATTGAGAAAATCTGATAAAATATTTTGACTGTTTCTACTTCACTGGTGAACCACATTCAAAGGTCACTGATCTCAGTTGAAATATGCATTGTTGTATGTGTTCAATGAAGCAAATCATTTATCTTGTAGTAATATTCTTGGTAATGTATCTCCCAAATCCCATGGGAATACTATACTGGGTTTCAAAACCAACTCATAGAGCTGTTGCACAGTCTGATACACATTTGCAAATCTACCAATAAATCGTTACAGAAAACAAGATGTCAGAAAATCACTTTTGGTCAAGATCTGAAGCCAATTGAAAATCTGTTTAGTCCTAAGTTATCAAATCAAAAACAATACATGAAAAGTACATAAAAAGCAAAACGCTGCATCCAGCCACATTTAGAAAAGAAAATTGTACTGAAAAATATGTATTCTGTATTTGACAAAAAGGTTCATTTGACAAATGAAAATCAAAATTCATAGGAATGTGCACCTCTTTCAAATTTGTTCATTTCATGATGATATCTTCAATTCTCTAATTTTGGTGAATATTTTTGTCATTTTCGGTAAAAAGTGATATTTTCAACTTCTTGTTAAAAACCGCAAGTCCAATTGCTTTGATATTACATATATACATGTAGGTACTACATGTGGACCTCTCTCAGATTTGTTCATTTTGTAATGATATCTTTAATTCTCTAATTTTGATTAAAATTATTGTAATTTTTGGTAAAAAGTGATATTTTTGTCTTGTTGAAACCGGTTGCTTTGAATACTATACATACTGTTCATTTTCTAATGATATCTTTAGTTCTTTAATTGAAATGTGCATTGCTAACAGCGGAGCTATTTCAGCCAACAGGCTGCTTGTCATTATTTTTTTCGATTGTACACAAACTGTTGATGCAAAGCAATTTTCGTGCATGATTTGACCTGATAGGTCATTCTGTTATTGACTAATCAGAATGCAGTGTTGTACCAATGCAATTCTCAGGGAATTCTCAAAGGCATTCTGGTAACGCAATGTGTGGAAGTGAATTATCAACAATCTGTTGAAAATGATTTTTTCTTAAAAACTGGTAATTAGCAATTTTTGTAAGGTGAACTGCTAATGGAAGCACTTGCCGTCGTTCATGGCTGTAACACGTTACTGTTGAAGTGTAGTTTACGAACTGTGGTCTACACATTGGCACGATATTTACAGTTGTTGACGTCCATGCTGTATTACCGGTATATAAATTTGATTACCGTTATTCGGAAAAAGTCAAACATTGCTCAAAGACTAGGTTTTATGACTAGACAGTCAAATTTGGTGCATTTTGGATGGGATGGGTACTTAGCCGAACCTGATCTCAAAAATAGAAATTCCCCTAAAATGGGAGTGTGCACTTAGTCAAGTATTGGCACTGAGTCAGACGAGTAAGGTATACTAAACTTTAATAAATTTCACTCGTAATGTGGGTGATTAGAGGAGGTGTGTTATTGAAAAGGTGATATTTGGCTCATCTGAATGAGTGATTATAATATTGGGTGCCTTACATCCCTATGGGAGAGTATTGTGCTGTTTATGGTGAGTCAGTATGTATATGCCGCTGAATTCAAACAATAAGCAAATTGAACAAAAAACATTTACTTTTTCTCTGCCATTTTCTGATGATTTATTCTATACCATGTTGTTATCATTTCAGTGTCGGTTATATGATTTAAGGGCTGACAGAGAAGTGAATATTTATACTAAAGAGAGTATATTATTTGGAGCAACTTGTCTGGATTTCTCTTTGAGTGGTAAGTTACATACAATGACTTGTCTGGATTTTTTTTTGAGTGGTAAGTAACATACAATGACTCTCTGGATTTCTTTTTGAGTGGTAAGTAACATACAATGACTTGTCTGGATTTCTCTTTGAGTGGTAATTTACATACAATGACTTGTCTGGATTTCTCTTTGAGTGGTAAGTAACATACTATGACTTGTCTGGATTTCTCTTTGAGTGGTAAGTAACATACAATGACTTGTCTGGATTTCTCTTTGAGTGGTAAGTAACATACAATGACTTGTGTAGATTTCTCTTTGAGTGGTAATTTACATACAATGACTTGTCTGGATTTCTCTTTGAGTGGTAAGTTACACACAATGACTTGTCTGGATTTCTCTTTGAGTGGTAATTTATGTACAATGTCTTGTCTGGATTTTTTTGAGTGGTAAGTAGCATACAATGTCTTGTCTGGATTTCTCTTTGAGTGGTAAGTAACATACAATGACTTGTCTGGATTTCTCTTTGAGCGGTAATTTACATACAATGACTTGTCTGGATTTCTCTTTGAGTGGTAAGTTACATACAATGACTTGTCTGGATTTCTCTTTGAGTGGTAAGTAACATACAATGACTTGTCTGGATTTCTCTTTGAGTGGTAAGTAACATACAATGACTTGTGTAGATTTCTCTTTGAGTGGTAATTTACATACTATGACTTGTCTGGATTTCTCTTTGAGTGGTAAGTAACATACAGTGACTTGTGTAGATTTCTCTTTGAGTGGTAAGTAACATACAATGACTTGTCTGGATTTCTCTTTGAGTGGTAATTTACATACTATGACTTGTCTGGATTTCTCTTTGAGTGGTAAGTAACATACAATGACTTGTCTGGATTTCTCTTTGGTAATTTACATACTATGACTTGTCTGGATTTCTCTTTGAGTGGTAAGTTACACACAATGACTTGTCTGGATTTCTCTTTGAGTGGTAATTTATGTACAATGTCTTGTCTGGATTTTTTTGAGTGGTAAGTAACATACAATGTCTTGTCTGGATTTCTCTTTGAGTGGTAAGTAACATACAATGACTTGTCTGGATTTCTCTTTGAGCGGTAATTTACATACAATGACTTGTCTGGATTTCTCTTTGAGTGGTAAGTAACATACTATGACTTGTCTGGATTTCTCTTTGAGTGGTAAGTAACATACTATGTCTTGTCTGGATTTCTCTTTGAGTGGTAATTTACGTACAATGTCTTGTCAGGATTTTTTTGAGTGGTAAGTTACATACAATGACTTGTCTGGATTTCTCTTTGAGTAGTAAGTTACATACTATGACATGTCTGGATTTCTATTTGAGTTGTAAGTTTCATACAATGACTTGTCTGGATTTCTTTTTAGTGGTAATTTAACTTACATACAATGACTTGTTTACATACAACAACTTGTCTGAATTTTTCTTTGAGTAGTAATTTACATACAATGACTTGTCTGGATTTTTTTGAGTGGTAAGTTACATAGAATCACCCACATTGGGTGCTCAAAAATTGCATATAATCATGTTGAATGGAAATAATCTGTTAGAGATGGTGTTTTTCTGCTTAAAGAATTGTCGTTGTTATGCTAGTTCAAATTTCATGTAAACAAACAATATATTTTACAGACATTGCATGCATCGTTATGGGTCCCATATCAAACTCAATGTGGCATGACGATTATATAGCACTTTTATTTTTTCCTCAATATTTGAATTAATATATGTCTGTTTGTTTTCAAGCTTTGACTTGTGTTTATCTTGCAGGTCGTCTATTATTTGTTGGTTATAATGACTATACAGTAAATATATGGGATACTTTAAAGGGTATACGACTGGCTATATTGTATGGCCATGAAAACAGAGTTAGTTGTCTATCAGTATCACCAGACGGAACATCTTTGTGTACAGGCAGCTGGGACTACACACTTAGAGTTTGGGCCTAACAAAATGGACTTGACATGTGGTAAAAGTCACTGAGCTCTTGTACCTCATATGCAATCACAAGTTGGTGTGTTTTAATTCATTGCGTCACATGACAAGAATTATATGAGATTTAGCTGATTACTACCAGAAACACCCATGAACTGTTACCAGATATGTTGTCTGAGATGTACATTGCTTTTAAACACCATGTACATCATTTTTCAAAATGTTTGTCATCTTATTCTGAAAACATACAATAATAACATTCGACTGTCACCTCATTTGTCCTGAGGCTGGTATCAGAGTTAATTTGTCTAATTAACAGTCTGGATAATCCATTTCAAAAGGTATAAGTGCATTACTAACGGATCATGTAAAGGAGCCCAGTTAATCAGAGATTTAGATAATTCAACTGTGTATCTATTTATTTTTCATCAGCACAAACATAGACAGAGGTGCTATTTTATCAGTTACTGTAGTGTTAATCAGTGTATGGGTGTTATCAATATTGAACTTCTCTGGAACCCACATTTTGAATGATTTTATTTTCCCAAACAAAGTAATATAATACCTTGAATATGCAATATAAATTCATTATTATAATTATTATTATGATACTTGATTAATTATTTATTGTTGATAAGTGTGATGTTTTGTGTGAAGGGCAAGACTTGTTTGTATAGGTGTCTGTTGTCGCATGTGAAGCATTATTTCATTTTCTAGAGTACATAACTTTGGATTGAAATGCATGTTGTATTGTTATGTCACTTACTGTGATTACTGGCTTGTCTCACAATGGCAGGTGATGCAAGTCTACCATTTGTAAGTCTTTATTAAACTGTCACAGTTGTATTGCATTCTGTTCATGCATGAAATACATTTTATACGCAAAAGTTGAAAATGCATTTGACAACTGTGCTGTTTTAATTCAGATTTAATTTCCTCCTTAGTACTTATTCATTTGAACATTTATAATAATCATTTTAGAAGTGCACTATTTTTACCAGTACTACCAGTAGTTCTGTCAATAATTTATTTATTTATTTATTAAGGTGCAATATAGTTTTAATTTAAGCATGACTGTATCAGCAATGAAACTTTGATATGTAATTGTAATATGTCTACTAGAGTGTGGTTTGTCATGTGACTGCCTTTATTTGTTGTTAATTATGGATACAATTGTTTGTAAATACTTACCACACTTAATGTCATGTTATTTCATCATTGGGTGTACAGACCTATACAAATCAACTTTATTTATGGAGTGAAATTGACCAGTATCTGATGGTTATATGTGATTGGGTATAAATGTACGTGATGAACAATTGAGCAATGAGCAAAATATGTAAATTTAATCATATTTTATTATATTTTCATTTGAAAAATGCAGTGCATAGTTAAAGTAAAATAATATATCTGTAGATTATATATATATATGTGTGCAACCATTGTGACAACCCACAACATATTCCACTCACAATGTGAAATATAAAATAGATTTAAAGAACGATGGTTATCGTGTTCATCCCATATCAAACAAAATTTGTTGTGAAAACCATCGTCCTTTAAACAATAATATGAAATTGCAACAGTTTTTTTTAGCTATTTTGCATAAAATAAAATTTTTACATTTCAGTTATTTGTTGCAAATGTTACTAAATTAAAGTTGCATTCACATTTTGCAAATATGTGAAATATCATTCTCAGAATACAGTAAAAACCTAAAATGTGAAATTATGTTTTTTTTTGGCTGAAAAAAAGGACCTTTCCACACATTTTATTTTAAGGTTTTTATCCCGTATTTTATTACACGTTACTGACCTCTAAACACAATCAAAACCTTTTATGTCAAGGATTTCCTATTCAAGAATCTAACTTGCTTCAAGAGAGCTTCTTCAATTTATTTTTACTAGGATTGGCCAGATTAGCAAAATGTAAATGCAGCTTAAGTTGTAGCTATGTCAGAATCAAGCTAAAATGACATTACTAGCAATCTTTCACAAAAAATGTTCTGAAATACCTGGTTTAACTACATGTACATGCGACACATTTTTAGAGCTAATGAACTAAAACTCTATTTTAATTATAAATTTTTGAATAGTGTATGCAACATAATATGTGTCAGACATTAACAAATCTACATATAAAGCACTGTATTTTGTAAATGTATAAATGTGTGCATCGTTTGTATTATACAACCCTCCAAGTTATTTTGTGTAACCTTTATGAAAGCAATGACTTGTATTCAAACCCAACCAGACCACCTTGTGTATCTCTTATCTCTGTAACCATATTTGTATGTATTCTCATGTAAATACCCATTTTATCACAATGTATAGAGAAATTATTTATTATTTAGCAGTCTTTCTTAAAGTTGTATCTTAAATAAACTGCCCTATAAACTACCCTTTAGGATTCAGTCTTTATATATATATATATGAGTGACCTCGTTTATGTCATTGCTACTGAATACTACCGGTACCACTAATTTGTATTATATAATCAGACATATATTGGCGTAATCACCATTCTATCTCTGGCATGTTAAACTGTTCTTGAGGTCTACATGCGCCCTCTAGTGGCCAACCTGAGTAAGTACCTTGGAGGCAACCTACAACCAAATTTTGTTCTTGTGTTGCACAATTATAAAAAATATCACCTTCCAAAGGCTGAAGTGCATTATGTTAAAATCATTGGTTTGATCTATTTAAACAAATTCAGTAAGTAAAATATTGCTTGCTTCATTACATTTCAAAATAATAGAGCACATTGATTGTTCAATCAAGTACCTAAATTCATTTTATGAATTAGTCTGACTGGAGCAAGCATATGTCACAAAGTTGTGGGGCATGTTGATTGATGTAATTTAATCACGACCATAAACCTGTTTTTTTTCATAAATACAAGTTTCAATCCAACCAGCCAATCAAAGTGACAATTGTGAGCAGAGCCTATCCCTGATTCCCAAATTATGAACAGACGTGATGTAATTTTTTTTGCGTAACCTTGACAACCCTTGAAGAATGAAGTCAGTCTTATATGAAACGGTATTAAAAGATTGTGGTGGAAATGTAGGTGGGACAACTAGAAGAACATAAACAGTCGAGAAACTGTCATTTGTTGAACTTGTTGAAAAAGATGGTATGCGTGTGTTTCAATAAGTAAATATGACCGCGACAATTTTTCAAACCCTAAAATACTCTCAAAAATATGACAGATAATTTGCATGTTTGTTTTTCCTAGGCAGAATGGTGTGCATATTTTCAGAGACGGTTCAAGTTGGTTGAAAGATATATAAAGTACCAATTTGGGGGACAATCGGTCTATGTGATTGATGGACGGATAAATGGAATCCAATCTATAAGTCCACAACTGTGTCTAGTTGTGAGCTAACAAAAGGAATGCATCCCACAATGCACTATTACATGGCTTAGATGGACATGTTATCATTTTTTGCCGAGTACAAATGACCTAAATAACAGCTTAAATTTGATACATCTAGTGTCAGATTGAAAAAAATTCTTATTTCCCATCTGTATTGTATTTTAATTCCAGATCATAATAAGGATACAAATGTTATCCAATGAGTGACTGTAGTGATGGTTCAGTTGAGAAAATGACAACTGTGTATTCTGCTGCAATGGAATATAAAACAAAAATGCATGTGGCTGAATGCATGAAAACTATTGGTATATAACTATATGTATATCGACAACATTCAGATTGATCCTATTTCAGTTTTCACAAAAATAACATCTAGTCATCAAACAAGCTGTGTTTTTTATTTTATTTAAGAAGATAACTACCAATAATATTTGCCACTAAGAGTGTAAAATATCAAATGCTTTATGTCACTGCATGATACATGTGATAAAGTTTATTATTTTATAACAATACAAAATTATTTAATTCTATTTGTTTTATTTTGTAAACAGTTATAAAAAAATCATTTACAGTATATAGTCCATGTCATATACCTTGTAACTTGATGAATGACCTTGTTACCAAAGCCAATTGATTTAAACCATATATGCAAGCAGATTTGCTGATATTTGAAGCCAGTCAGCAACCTTTGATCAGCACTAAAACATGGTGCTTTAAAAGGTAGAGGCTTCAATCTGGATGAGTATTATTTTGGTGTAAGTATAAATAAGTAAAACCTTCTTTAAATATATTGGTGACTGATTGCATAATGATGGTGTACAACATTTTGAGTGTAGGACACCATCTCACAAAAACACTAATTTTGAGAAAGTTTACATGTATATAGCAAAACAAAAAGTACCCAATCTGCGACAGGGTGCTATCCTGTTGGTTATTGTTTTTGTGCCTTCAAAAAAAAAGGATGAAAAAGGTATACACACAATACCAATAACAAATTATTTGATTTTCCTATCTGGGGATAATATGCAACAGAGCAAATGTGAAAAGCAAATAGCATCAATATATAAAGTACCCCCAGTAGATTGACTTTGAGAAAATGAAATTACAATTTTCCTTATTCAGGGTTTCAAGCTGAACTGAAAACTGTGTCATGTTTGCCATACTTTTATTATATGGCTTCATGCAATCAGAACACAAAAAGGAAGAAAATTGGAGAAAAATCATTTTTACATCTCAAAATTTTGCTTGATGCCCAATCTGATTAAAATAAGGTCCTTGTTTCAGGCTTTTTTTGAAATATGAATTAGTTATTTTTTTCATAAATTTTATTTCATTTATTTTTTATTTACATGTATTTATACAAGTTTTGGTAAAATAAATTAAATACATATTAAAAAAAAGAAAAGACTTATTTTAATCAGATTGCTCAGTAACATAAAATTACTAATAATCCAAAGCCCAATATTGTTGAAGCATTTCAAAAAATTTACATATAATTTAGTTTCCAGTATAATAGCGGTAATAAGTTTTTCTATAACCTACATGAAAATTTTTCTCCCATAATGCATTTGGCTCAAACTGCTTTAAATGAACTGTACAATATATCTCACATTTGTTTAGTATTTCACAAAATTACATTGGCAAGGTATGTATTACTGGTAGTATATGTGTAAAAATCTTGCATTATTTACTTGTTTTTATACAAACATAAGAGACAACATACAAATATAATGTTATCTACTAAATGAATCCAAGTGTTCTAAATTCTCTAAAGATACAAATACTACAAATAACATTTATTCACATATATTTTGAATAACGTGAAATAATTTGATAAAATCTATAAACTGAAAAATCATGAAAGATTTTGGTCAGGTACGTATTTCTTTTTCCATCTTAGTATTTATATATGCTATCTCCATTGCACACTTTGAAGTAGCCTACGACCAGTCATTATGCTCGCAATCCATTATTTATATACTACATAATCTTAATACAAAAACAAAATTGAAACTGCGTCACCACATCATTTTTCAATTTTCCCTGGGACACAAAGCAAAATCTTTTTTTCTTGGCCTTATATTTATACTTTAAAAAAAATCACATTGAAGAGAAAAAATGTTGGAAACAGAGCATGTTTTGGTAACTATGAACAATAACGATACTCTGGCAAGATTAATCTGTGATCTCAAAGGCCAAATGCTCAAAACCTGAAATAACGCTCTCTGATTGATCAAGAATTCCTGAATTGTTCTGTGTTTAATATTCTCAATCAATTAAACCAGGATATATGCAGAATGCGTGTATACAAAATGATAGTCAGAGTTGTACATTTTTACTCTTATTTATATAGACGTATAGCACCTGTACCTATATGTATGTAACTTGTCATGATTAGAATAGACAACATGTCTTTAGAACAGTGTGCTCCATCCCAACCATGGACCTACCACATCAACTAACAACACTGTATACAGGTAAAATGTCTTGCTTCTGTTAATATCATTTGGAAGACTTTTAATATTAAGTGAAGGAGCACCCAATTTTGACATTTTCTTTTAACTATTTTATTCATTTATTAACCAATAGAAAAATTGTATTTCTAAATATGCAATTAAGATATTGTTATTTCTCATTTCAAGGGTTACAAAAGTCAGGTATTTACTTAGAAAATAGAAATGTTCTTCATCAACAAAAAGACAGCCTCCTAAATTAAAATGTCAGCCAATACAATTGTTATTGTGAAGATATAAAATTGTAAAGAAAGATTATCTATATATAAACAAAGTCGTGATTGATTGTCCAAATATTTATATTACTTAGTAAACCCAACAAATGACTCC